CAATGCGTTTTTGCACCTTGTCTAAAAGAGAAAGGGCATCATTAGAAGATCCACCCCAGATATGGCAACAGTATTCCATACAAGGCCGGATTTGAGATTTATAAAGATAGAGAACAGAATCTAGAGTAAGAAAGTGACGAGTACGATAAAGAGAAGCGACTTTAGCAGATGCTAATTTTGCAACGGATTTGATATAAGGTTTCCAAGAAAGATCAGAAGTAAGAGTTAATCCTAGAAGATGAAGGGTAGGAGACTCATCGAGTACATTACCGTTCATAAATATAGGAAGGTCTAAATTATTGCCCCTGAGGTTACAGAATAAGAAGAAGAGTGCTGTCCATCAAGGACAACTTTTAAACTACGATTGGAAAGAAAGGATTCAATAAACTTAAAGATGTTTCCAGATACACAGTAAGAAGAAAGCTTATGGAGGAGACCAGCATGCCAAACTTTATCAAACGCTTTAGAAATGTCAAGAGCAATAGCCTTAACCTCTCCACCTTTATCTAATGCGCGATAAAACCTATCGGTTATTACTGTTAGCAAATCAGCAGTAAAACAAGAAGATCGAAATCAAGATTCGAGATGAGAGATTAAGTGTTTGTTAAATAAAGATTCAAAAACCTTGCTTATGATAGGAAGAAGACTAATGGGACGGTAGTTAGATGAATCAGATCGCTCTCCAGAATTTTTAAAAATAGGGATAACAGATGCTGCTTTCCAGCAGGCTGGAAAACAAGACTCTGATAAGCACTTGTTAAATAGTTTTGAAAGGATAGACGACAGTTCCAGAGAACACTTCTGCAAGATTATAATAGGTATGTTGTCCGGGCCGCAAGCTGTAGAAGAGTCTAAGCATAAAATCACTTTAGATACAGAAGCTGGAGTGATACGAATGTCGAGCAGTGGATCAACCTGTTTGACGGCTATATCAGGTAGAACGCAACTAGTGGCATCAAGAGATGATATTGATGAAAAGTTCTTGGCAAACAATTCAGCTTTGTCTTTAGGTGAGGTGACAAAGTCTGAACCGTACAAAAGAGGTGGAAATACAGATTTGCCCTTATTATTGATACTATTAAAGATTCTCCAGAAGTCACGAGAGCCTAATTTTTGTGATGAAATACAAGATTTCATGATCTGAGAATAGCGGGCTTTGGCGTTAGACAAAACCTTTTTACAATGGTTCCTAGCAGTAATAAACAAACGTCTGTTTTCTGGAGAATTGTTTTGCTGATAGATATGGAAGTAATGGTTTCGATTAGCAATTGCAGCAGCACAATGTGAGGAAAACCATGGAGAAGAGTGAGGCTTGACCTGGAATCGTCAAGAGGTAATAAAGGATTCCATACCAGCTTGAATCCAAGAAGTTATGTAAGTACCACATTTGTCAACAGGAAGACGAAAAATTTCTACCCAGGGCCCATCACAAAGAAAATCACGGAAAGAGTCCCAGTCAGCTTTACGGTAGTTGTAAGATGTACAATGATAGGGGGATCCTGATGGTAAAGAAGAATGAGATAACAGTTTTAGAGAGACCAAACCATGATCAGAAGCACCTTAGGGTGAGTGTGGTGAAACTGAGCACTGACTAGGATTAGAAACAAGACATAAGTCGAGTAGAGAAGGTAAATGATTCGGGTTGTCTGAAAAGCGAGTTGGAAAGTTGACTATTTGAGTTAGGGGTTGAGAAAGGCAAAAGTTGTGGGCCTTAATGCCTGCGGAGTCACTGACACTAGAGCCAAGCCATTCAGTGTGATGAACATTAAAGTCACCGACAACAACAATATTGGCTGATGGATTAAGAATGAGGGCTTGGTCAATATAATCAGAAATAACATCAAGAAGAGTGCAGTCTTGAGATGAAGGAGAGCGATATAGAACAAAGAGAAAGGTGATAGAGTGAAGTGGTGCTAAACAAAAGCACATAAAAGAGTAGTCTGTAGATTCAAACCTAGTTTCCCGACAAAGCGGTGAATTCTTACGAATGTAAATGCCTAGGCCAAACATGTGACTATTGGAGTCTTTACGAATTAAAGGAAGATAACCATCAACACTAAGATCACAAGGTGAGACAGCTGAATTCAAATTAGTCTCACAAAGAGCAAGTAGGTCTGGTGAACTTTGCAAGAGATAAGACTCAACAGAAGAAAAGTTACTTCGAAGACCACAAATATTGGTGAATGATAGGTTTAGCAAACTTGGTGAAGACTGTGGTTTTTTGTGTTTTATAGTTTTTGTTACTTTATTCATTTTTAAATTTGTTAGAACTTGACTCGAAACATAGATAGTACTCAGTACACTGTTTTATAGCCCAAGCAATTGCCTCATTTTCACTAATAAACCCTAAGCCGTAACAAAGGGCTCCAATGTGGCCTTGGCAATGCACACTAAAAGTACAAACAAGAACACTATCCATGCGCAACATGGCACTGTTAGTACTCTGATATTTTTCAGCTGTTGATGGAATCAGCCTCTCTGAGAGCTACCACAGAGTTCGAGAAAACTTAATTACCAGCCGGCCTCAGAATCATAAAACTGAGCTTTAGAGCTGTACCCTTATTTGGAGATAATAGAATGAGTTGCCTAGTAATAAAAACAGAAACACAAGCAAAACCCATGCATCGAGTCAAGAAGATCCAGCGTTCAACATCCTAAACTGGAAACAATGTATTAATATTCATCTGCACGAGCCTAATAGATGGAGAAGGGGTGCAAGGCTGGTCAATAATATTTAAGGGGTAAACAGATAGAATCTGTTTACCCCTTAAATATTATAGCTTACATATAGCTTTGCCAACTTTGATATTAATAGCTATCTTTAATGAATTATTTTAATCTGAAATACTAATCAAGAACAACAAGGCTGCACAAGCATGTTTGTCTAATATGAAACAGACAAAGTGAGCCGCAGTGATAACATAGAAAAACAGATGACTACTGTGTCTATTGTAGTGTCTAATGTTGAGTATCAAATATATTAAGTATTTGAAAAAGATATTCAAATCTTCTAATGTTAAGCTTTACATAAAGCAGAATTTGAATAATAATATTATAAAAGAAAAAGAAAACTTCATTTAATTTTTGTTTTATAGGCATAGAATAAAAATAAATTATAGAGTATGCTACTAAAAAGCATATTTACTTTAGCTGAGCATAATGTGTTGAAGAAGGGTGAAGTATAAAACTGATAAGAATTACCCTTAAACTAAAAGAGCAGCTACAAATACAAACAAAAGAAAGTGGATACTTCTGTTTAGCTAAATTAGCTACAAAACCATTTGTTAGTAAAACTTTAAATGAAATGAAAAGTGTGAAATATGATTGCAAGGCATAGCTTGAAAAACAAACTTTTTTGTTTTGGACAATTTGTCTAAAAAATACTTTGGTTTAGAGTAACTTAAACTTTATGTTTTTGAAAAAGTAATATAAAAAGTATTTCCAAACATATTACATTTTTTTTAAATTTTTAAAAAGCGTTTTTATATTATGCAAAATGCTTATTAAAGTATGTACTTTATTAAAGTAGCAAATTAGTTCAAATGATTGTTTAAATAAACTCACTTTATTAATATTATTAGTAATATATTGAGATAATTATTTTTAAGATAAAATGACAAATACTTAAACAATAATGAAATCCATAAATTATACAAAAATGCATAGTGGTTTGTAATTAAAAAAAAAACTTTAAGTAAAGAAATTATTTCATTATTTACAGCAAATCAGTTTATATAAAATAAGAAAAAATTAGAAAAATAGATTGCTTTTGTTTCAGACAAGAGCTGATCTTCAGTAAAAGATAAACTATTAGCAGTTGTTTTAATTTATTTAAACAATTAAAGAATATTATAAGTAATATTATTTATCTATATAAATATCAGTATTCTCTGTTTAGCCATTGCTTTCGCGCTTGCCCACACGCTCATAAAAATGCACTTGCTAAAAAAATTAAAATGTTTTATTTTAAATTGCAACAAAAACTTTTTTGTTCATTTGTTCAACTTTTATGAAAAATGTTTTTTTTTTAACTAGTTTTTGTTTTAAATTATTTTATCTAGTATTTATTCAAAGCATTCTTTTCGTTTCTTTTGTTTTAATTTAAATAGCAGAAAAAAAAATTTTTTAATTACGCAGACTAACTTAAAAAAAAAGACCATCTGGCCAGCGCTTTATTGTGTGCTGTCATTAAATTTCAAAAGGAGAAGACTGAAATATGTATTTTTTTTAATGAATATTTTCATAAATAAATTTTAATAGCAAAAAAAATTTTAATAGCAAAAAACTTTAGCACAAAAACTAAGTAATATACCAAGAAAGACTAAGCAACATACCAATATATATAGAACATAACATACCATTATATATAGAATATAACATACCATAAAAAATAGAACTTAACATACCATTATATATAGAACATAATATACCTGCCAAAAAGAAACACACCTCAAGTTAAATAGTATAATAAAAAGTGCTGGTTTTTATTTAATGTAATAATTATTTAAGTTTTTAAATAACTATTACATTAAAACTTTTGTAAAAATAAAATATTTTTGTAAAAGCTAAAAAATCACAAAACATGCACACAAAATGTCAAACAAAATGACTGGTAGATGATGTTTTTTACAGTTAGTCAAACAAAATTCATGGTAGATATTTTTTACAAGACAAGACAATGTTCGATGTCTGATGTGAGTGCAAGACAATGTTCGATGTCTGATGACTATTTCAAACTCTGTTGTAAGGAAAAAAAATAATGAAAAGCAACAAAAAAAACTCTTACAATAAAAAGCAGATCATTTTATCAAATTAAATAAGTTTTTAACACAAAATAAATTTTTGTATTATATAAAATAATGTCAATTTCTTTGCCTATTATTTTTATTTGTTAACTTAAATAACTCAAAACTTTTTTTATAATGCTTCTTTATGAAATAGACACATGATGTAAAACTAAATTAGAATTCCTTTAATATGAAAAGCATCAAAATTAAAACCTGTGTTTTCTCATCTTTGCAACAGATTTCTCAATACAAGTTTTTACATTTTTAATCAAAAGCTCGTCACCTATAATTAATTCCATAAATAACGTTTTTAACTTGTTGTATTTTAAAATTAAACAGTCATATTTATATTAAAAAAAAAAAAAGTTTAACTCTTACTAGATTTTGCAATGGAACTTGTTCGCTTCTACACATAATACATTATATATATATATATATATATATATATATATATATATATATATATATATATATATATATATATATATATATATATATATATATATATATATACATATATATATATATATAATTAAATATATAGACATATAGACACACAGAGAGTTGAAACCATATGTAAACTTTTATTTTATTAAAAAAAAAACACCTTGCTTTCAGTTCTTGCTTGTTGAAAAAGCTGGTCTAGTTCTGAGTTTTTACAAGTCTTAATTGAAATATTTTGCTCACTGTCATCATCTGATTCAAAATCTTCTTTTGATAGTTGTATGACTACAGGAGCATGCTTTGGTGGCTTAAAAAAAAAAGTACTTAATTTTTTATATATCTGACAATTATTAAAATGGAAAAAAATACTTCAACAGTCTTTATACAAACTATTGTTTTAATATATCTAATGAGAACATACATAACATATTATTGCAACTCAAAAAATGACAAACAGATAGCACATTTATCAATAGGAAGTCAACAAGTTTTAACTTTAAGTATTATATTAATACCATGTGTAAGATAAGAATTGAACCAACGACGAATGACGAATCTCAATAAAACTAGCAATGATATGTGTGTGTGTGTCTGAATATATATATATATGTATATATATATATATATATATATATATATATATATATATATATATATATATATATATATATATATATATATATATATATATATATATATATATATATATATATATATATATATATATATGCATATAAAATTGAAAGTACATCATGTATGGTGACATACTATTTATTTAACTATTAAAATTTTTTAATTTTAAATGTGATGTTTTGGCTCATATAGTTGGAGCCATTTTCAAACTAAAATACGTTACAAAAAATTCGTTATTTACAAAAATGATGTCATTGCTGCATAATATTATAAAAGTTTTTCTTAAATTGAACAAAAAATGGTTTCCAATGGTGAGTCATCACTAGGTTGCCATTATCTCGGTTAAGAATTTTATTTTTTAGATAGCAACATTGTAATCTGTCTATTTCAATTGCTTCCCTGATTTTTCTCTTATAATTATTTGGGATGGCTGAAAGTGTTTTTGGATTATTCCAATTAATTATACCTTTGCAATGTTGTGCATATTCATTAATTTCAGACACTTTCCAGTCACGTTTTTTTGATGATCAGCTATTCGTGTTTTTATCTTTTTTCTGGTTTCACCCACATAAAAAGCGCTACATGTACATTTAAGTTGGTAAATACCTGGGTAACTGTTTGGTGGTAGCTTTGATTTATTTTGGCATAATATGTTCGATAAAGATCTACCAAAACGAAAAACTATTTTATGCCAACTTTTCAAAACTCACGTCTTAGGCTTAATTTAGGAACCCACGGAAGTATTATGGTATTATTTGTGTTAATTTGTTGATGGTTTTTTGTTTGGGATAGTTTGTAATGTTTTACAATGTCTAGAAGTTGTTGCTGAGAATATCCATTTTCCATAAAAATATTAATTAGGAACTCAATTTCTTTTTCTATATTATCTCTGTGCATTAACTATAAGCTCTTCCAAGAAAACCTTTAAATATTCCTATTGCAATATATGGAGATATACAAGACTGCGGTTTTACAAATACATTCATTATTGCATTCTTGTGGTATGTAAAAAAGTTATATTTATGAGTTATATGATTAGTTTAAATGCAGATATCTAAGAAATTAATTTGATCTTGATGATTTTGGTATTCGCATGTGTATTAAATAGCTTTGTCTTGAGAATTTAAAAGTGTCAAAATCGATTCTGCTTTATCAGAGTACGAAAAACGTGCATGGCAGTCATCAACATATCGTTTAAATGTTATTGATGCAACATTAATGGTAAATGCTTGTTGAATTGCATAATATTCAATATGTTGTAAATAAGCTTCTGAAATTACTACCATTATGGATAATCCAATCGGACCAGAGTTTTTCAAGATATAAATTTTTTTATCCCACAGAAAATAGCATTTACTTATACAAAGTTCAATTAATTTATGGATGTCAGTTAAAGATAAATTAGTGCGCAGCTGAAGATCATCTTTATCGTTAAATTTCAATAATAGCTATAATTGCTTTATCAAGTAGTACTGACGGATACAAATTTATAACGTCAAATGATACCTGAACCTCATTTTCTTCAATTGTCCATTCTTTTGCTTCCAATACAAAAGATGATGAATTTTTTACTCTACACTGGTTTTTGTTAAGTGTAGGTTGTATAAGCTGAACAAGATGCTGCGATAATTTATGT